AATAATTCAGGTAGACACTCAGCCATCTACGACAGAGGTAAACTAGCCCCCTCTCCTCAAGTGTGGGCTCCACAGAGTGACCTCCTCCTACGTTGGACACACAGTAAGGACGTGGGACAAGAGGAACTTCAGTAGGGAAACCTAACAAGCCCTACCCCAGCCAGTGACCAGCGTTAACACCAACTGTAATAAGTTGCCTTGAGAGCAGAGGAAATGGGTGATTTCCTAGTAAAAATACACATGAACAAAACAAACCTGAAAATAAAGAAAATGGAAACTGACCAATTAGCATAGAAAAGCTTTCGGTGCTGCTTAAAATCCCCCGTTGGAAAATAACTCAGGGAGACAGTTAACTGAGCTTTAACAAATTCTGATTTTAATATCAAAGCTTGGTATATATTTCCATTTTTCATCTAATGTAGGACATGTCAATGTTTACAAACCAAACGTCATGTTATGTACCACTATAAATATGCTGCCATGTAAAGCGAACTTCTCAACGCAAGAAAACCATGACCGATGAGCTTACTTCCCTTAAAGCCAGAAAATTTTTAATAAATTTTGTTTTGGGTACTCATAAATTTAAACTCACATGTATTCATACATGTTTTCAAGTTGTCAGTATATTTTTTCCACTGTGCTAACACTGAAACAACAAAAGGCCCTTCACAACACTCAGGAGGGCGAGACCAGGACGGCTGGCCTTGCAGCCGCGACGGCCGCAGTGTTTCTCCTTTCTCTGTGGGAGCCTCTGCCCGGAAACAACGCTCTTCTGGGACAAGTACTACAGTGTGCCATGACAGCGGGCTGCCAAAGCTTTGATGCTACATCGTGCTGAACTACTACATGACAAAGTACAGACAGACCACTGAGAGAGTCAGAAGCAGATTATGCTCACTGCGGAAAACAAAATGTCTCTGGGAAAGCCACAGCAAATCTCCCTCCTGTGCACTTTTGTTGTTGAATTCTAAGAGTTCTTTATATATTCTGCAAACTGAACCCACATCACATGTATCATTTGCAAATATTTTCTCCCATTCTGTAGGTTATCTTTTTAGTTTCTTTTTTTTTTTTTTGATGTAGTGTATCTTTTTAGTTTCTTGATAGTGTCCTTTGATACTCATAAGTTTATAATTTTGATGAAGTCCTATTTTTTTCCTGTTGTTACCTGTGCTTTTGATAATCATACCCAAGAAATGATTTCCTCTGGCTCAGCACCCAGACAGGCCTCCATTTCATCCTACCTTCAAAGCGTCAGCACCTCCAAGCCCAGAACCATTTCATCCCAGCCCTCACTCTGTAGGTGACCCCAGTACCACCCAAACCCCGGCAGCCAGTGGCCAGACAGGATATGGTCTTCTGCCTGAGGCACCCAAGGGGTACACTGGAGACACCACAGTGCCTTCTTGGGCCAGCTGGGAGGTGATCACTGGCAGAGGCAGGGACACCATTATGGGTTGAACTATGTTCTACAAACTTCCGATGTTGAAGTCCTAATCCCCAATACCCCTGAATGAGAACTGATATGGAAATACGGTCTTCAGAGATGATCAAGTCAAGATGAAGTTATTCAGATCATGATTATGTTGGTAGATTTTGTTGGTATTAACAAGAACCGGGCAGAGATACACACACAGGAAGAGTGCTGTGTGAAGACTGGAGCTCTGCGGTCCCAAACCAAGGAAGTACTGGAACCTGGAGAAAGCTCCCCTTGAGCCTTCATGACCATGACATCACCCACATCACACTTCCAGCCTCTAGACTTGTGACACAGCAGATCTGTTATTCTAGGCCACGTAGCTTGACCTAAGAGATCAACAGAGGCACCCTCTGCCCTCTCCAGCAGTCTCCACACCATGGAGGGTGGGGGTGAAGGCAGGGCCCTTCACAGACCAAAGCCATTGCCGGGTGATCACTTCTTCTGGCCCCGATTGTCTGGGAGGTCTGGCCACACCTCTCAACCTCCTGGGGCCCACGCAACTATGAAGACAAGGAGAGGCAGAGAAGTTGGCCTCCCTGGAGCTGATCACTGCACATCCCCCCTTTCACTACTGGAGCCCAGAAAGCCTCCGACACCTCCTCTGGGCCCCTGTCAGCCATCAGCCATTTGAAACAGCCACCATATCCCTTTTCATCTCAAGAAGGAAAGTGCCTCTGCAAGGCAGAGAAAGAGGACCCTTGGCCTGGTCACAGCACCTATGTCCACTGGACCCAGGCTGGCCCCTTAAGGGGATAAGGGCAGAACACTCTCTAGGGCCAACACATCTCCTCTCTCAGAGCAGCCTGGGATCAAACAGCAGAGAGGGAAGTGTGGGCCTCAGGGTGGGAGCTGGGTGCACAGGCGCTGGGCATGCAGGATGGGGAGAGGTCTCCAGCCTCCAGCCACTCAGGACGTCTGACCACTGCACAGGAGCCCCTCCAAAGGAGCTCGAGTCTCGGTCAACAGTCAGCTCCAGAGACTTCAGTCCACGTACGACAAAATGGACACGATCCAGCTGGCTGAGTCCGTGCTCTGGAACTTTCAGGATCGAGCCCAGTGTCTGTAAAGGGTGGGGGAAGGAGGCTCCCCAGGAGGTGCTCCCACAGCCCGTCCAGGAGGTTCTTGCCTCACACCATGACACCTCACCCATAGGTACTTCCTTTCGGATCAGCAAAGGCCAAGACTGGGATGGGTCCAGAGCTCTGCACGTTTCCTGGGAAGGCCAAAGGGCGGCACCGCCCATCACACCCCAGGGTTAATCCCTAACCCTCTCTAAAGTGTTTATCAACTGTGCAGATATTTTATGCAGACTTTGAATGACTGAGGGCAGGATGAATTGGATCAGTGTGCTTCCTACGGTGACAGGGGATGCACGATGAGTTACGTACCTCAATGATTACAACAAATCACCACGTAGCTGAGTGGCACATAAGGTTGAAGAGCGAATCTTCATGGGTGTACACTTAGTGACTACACGAAGGAAGCTGGTGCCGTAGCGATGCCAGAACTGGTTGGTAATGTGTTCATGAATTATGAAAATGTAAGCACTTTAGAGAAATTCATGAGTCAATGGAAAGCTTGATGAGAAACAGCATGTTTACACAGTTTCAAAGCACTACCTCCCAAAATATACAAAAAGAGTAACTGTAGTGGAGAAGGTTGGCAGAAAACACCCTAACGAAGTGATCAAGATGAGCACCAACAGCAACCGGACAATCAAATTGATGTGCTGTCTGTAAGACAGGGTAAGTAAGTGCCTCGTGTCACTTCTGGGATATTTCCTGAATTGCATGGAAATATCCAACATGGCCACTCTGGGGGACGTTCTACAGAATACCTGGCTTGTACTCTTCCAAAGTGTCAAAGTCATTAAAGTCCAGGAGAAGATCGGGCCTGTTGTGGCCTAAATGACAAGACAGTCAAGGGCACGCAGCACATGCTATGTGACGGGATTCATCTGTCATTTAGGGTGTTGCTGGGACAACTGATTAGACTTTAGCGGGGTCTGGAAGAAGGTGGGGAAATACCAGCACCAACTTCCTGACTGGTGATCCCACGAGGAGAAGGCGGAATTCCTTGTCTCAAGGAAACGGGAATCAGCTCAGTAACTTGTTCTCAAAAGGATGAAAGGAAACAATGTTGGTGTTTGCAGCTTTTTATAAGTTTTTGACTGCTTCACAATAAAGAAAGATTTGACAACTAAAAGATTCCTGATTCTAGGGAACAGGATGTGAGTGAGCATCCCTGAGAGGAAGTACATATTACTGCTGGTGCTTGGGCAGCGCCACTGTGGCGATGAGGAAGGGGCAGGATGGGTCCAGGGTCTACAGAGTAAAGGTGAGGGGTGGGTACGGCTGAGGGCCCTGGGGCTGTGGCGGGGGCGCGGGTGTCGCACCTCAGCTGCCCCCCAACTCCGGAAGCTGTTAGCGTCTTGTCATTCAAGCACCACATACCCTGGGTTCTCAGCCATCCCTCACTTCACACCACCCTCTCAGCAACGACCCATGATTGCCTGCTTATTCCTGACGAGCCTGTGAGCCGCCTGAGAGCACAAAATTGACTTTGCGCCCTGCTCGGCACACAACTGTCAACTGACACAATGGGTAAGGCAAGGACCAAGGGCCTGTTCCTGGCGGTGACAGTCCTGAGTGTCAAAGTCACCTCTGCATCAGGAATCACATCACACTCGGCCCCCGGGGCCCTGTGCGCTCGGACATGGTGGCATCTAGCACCAGGGCAATTCCTCCTCCCACAAAACAGTCAGGTAAAGGGCAAAGGGCAGAGACGCCCACTGTGACGTTGCTTATAAAACAGACACATTAGAAACAATCAGATCAATAGGGTACTGGTGCATCAATCAATGCACACGCAAACTGTGAAATGCCAGCCAGGGACAGAAAGGCAAAGGACTGACAGGGACAGGTGTCCAAGATGTAGTTAAGTGAGTAAAAGGGGAGAGTTCAGAACATTGAACTGTAATTTAATTGAATAGAACATTTGTTTTACAAACACAATGAATTACAATCTGCGGGAAAAATGCACCCCGCCCCACCCTGCCTGAGCCGTCCCAACCACATTAGCTTCTGTAGAAGCCCCCACCCCCAAGACATAGAAATGTCAGAACACTGCCCATGCCCCACTCGCCAACTTAACTGTCACAGGGCAGGGAGGGTAGACAGCAGTGCAACATTCTCCTCTATCTCCAGAAAGGCGTTCTCTGCCCAGAACCTGCCCAGGAACTTGACTCCACACTCTCCCGCTGCCTGAGTGAAACAGACCCTTTGGACTTCTGAGCTCAAGAGCGTTTCTCAAATGCTTCCTCTGATACAGTGAGTTGCCAACCAAACTATTCAAACATGGCAGGGGGCTACGCAACCTCAATGCTTCTCACTGGAACGCCCCAAGGAACTCTGGGGTCCTCTCTTCAGTTGGAATAAAGCTCTACGTAACATGTGTTGAAAGGCTAGATGTCCACACCTGCTCCCCTGGGAGCACTGGCTGGATACTCCAAAGGGACATCTCAACCCAGGCTGCCCCCTGAAAGCTCAAGAAGCATCCTGGCTCCCCAGAAGGCGTCACTGGAGGCCTGGCCATCGGGCCACTGCACCTGGAAAGCCAACACAGCATCACACACAGAAGCACCTTCTGCCTGGCTCCACCTTCCCACCCTGCCACCCCTTACCTCCGGACCCACCCTTTCTGGACTCAGTCAGAAACACGAGCCCACAGAACCCACCTCCCAGGTCCCATTCAACTGATGTCCAGCCCTGAGGCATCCCTGCCCCTTGTTACATTTGCCTGGTTTATTCACTCCAAAGGTATGACCTGAGGATCCAAGAGTAAAGAGGGACACCCGCAGTACCTGGTGGTAGGGTCTCACCTGGCTGGAGGGCAAGGGCTGGCTCAGGTCCACAGCAGAAACAGGGCTGGAGAAGGAGGGGCCCGGTGCCAACTCCAGGGGACTGGAAAAGAGACGTCAGGACAAGTCCCGTATCAAAGGGGCACCCGGTCACGGTCCACCCTGTGAGTGACATGACCTGAGAGCTCTCTGCACGTAAGCAGCCCTTCCAGGTACACTCTTCAAGAAGAGTGTCCTCCCGAGGGGGTGCGCAGGTGCTAGAGGGACCTGTGTGACACCTCAGGCGGGTGGCTTGGGTGAGGCAGAGAGCACTTGAGGAGGCTCACAGAGAAGGACCAACAAACGGAAACCTGAAGGAAGAGGTCGAGAAGGGGCAGGCCTGGGGTGCCATCGGGATCAAACCGGGGGAGCAGCAGGGACGGTGACGGGTGTAGCCACTCAGGGCAACAGTGTGGCGGTTCCCCAAAAAGGCCAACACACACCCACAGCCCTTCCACTCCCATGCGTGTCCACACCCCAGAGACATGAAGGCACACAGGCAGACCCACATGTGTCCAGGAATGCTCACAGCGACCCCAAACTGGGAACTCAGAAATGCCTACCAACAGGCGATGGCTCAAAACAGCATGGTCCATCCGCATCAAGGAAACAGAACTCACAAGGAGGAAGGGACTGCTGGTACCCACAGCAGCAGGGAAAATCCCAAAGTACTCAAGCAGAGGAAAAGAAGCTAGACCCACCCTCCTCCACAAAATTCAAAACTTTTGGATTTCATTCACATGGAATTCTAGAAAATGAAGCTAAAGAAAGGAGATCCATGGTCCTGCAGGTGGCAGGGATGGCGGCAGGGGGGGACTGATCTACATGGCTCAGCACATGGTGGACACAGAAGTTGCACTCAGAAAACTCTCATTTGTACCATCCAAACATGGTGCTTTACTGAATGCCAATGATGCCCAATGACTCTACTGTTCGGGAAGGACTCAAGGTCATCACATCGAGCAAGGATGGGCTGGGCCACTGGAGTGCAAGCATGAGGAACCTGGTGGCGGCATTTTCTCCATCCAGGTTCCTGGTCATGAATGGAAAAGTGAGTCCATCTGCAAAGTCTGTGTTGTCTCACCCTCCGGCTGTCTCAGCAAGTAGAATTTGTGACTTGAGCAACTGCTCCCCTTCTCTCTCACACGCTGCCCTGTAATTCTGCTCTCACTGGGCACCTGGCGTTCAGCTCCAAGACTGGGGAGACTATGAACACTGGGGACCTAGTCCTGGTGACCCCTATCATAGACTCCCTGTCCGCCAGAGGACCTCCGACTTCTCACGCTGCTCTAGTCTCTCTTCTCAACCTCCAGGTTCTCCTGGCCCCCACGGCCAGAGGCTGCAGCACCTACTACTCACAGGCCTCTCAAGCACCTTTCAAACTACAGTCCGGAACATAAAATCAGGATCTTGATGCTGCTTAAAAACTCAGACAGCCTCTGTCTGGGGAAAACAAAATGCCAAAAAGCGGCTTCTGGGATCCAGGGTGATCTTGGGGAAGAGGCAAAGCGTGAGCACTGCCTGCTCTGATATTTCCGGGTGTTCTTCTGTCTCAGGGGAAACCACCCTCTTCTGGTAGATGCAGGGTGGGGATGATGATGTATTTTCCAGAAACCCGTAAGGAAAGGACTCAATCTGCACATCTGCAGTGGCAAGTCTATAAACCAGGAATACCCTACCCATGGCTCTGCGTGGCTCACCTCTGGGTTAGGAGGAATTCGGGAGGCTGTGTCACCAGGAAGCCGCCCGCCTGTTGTTCTGCCTGGCCACCGCTGGTGCCTGGACCTTCCTCCAGGTACATGCTCGGGGGGTTGCCAACAGGTGGGTCAGCGAATCCTACACAGAAAAAATTCCACAACCCAGTGCTGGGAGGACAGAACACAGCCCACAAGCAGCACAATCGAGACCTCCACGGAGAGAAGCAGCATCTGACCTGGCCGGCCCCAAGCCTCAGCCTCCCTTGCTGAGGAAGGAAGAGTCACAACTGTTGATCTCAACTGCCTTTTTAGGCTTCCAGAAACAAAAATGAAGTCCAATTTTGTGGACTTCAAATTTTGCTTCATCAACCCAGACTTTAGGCCAGCCCCCAGTGCCAAAGACTCAGCATCCAAATCTGCCCCACACGCAGGGCTGCCATGTTAGAACTTCTCAGTCTGTCCTGTGCTGGTTCATCAAAGCCTGGGCCACGTCCATTTTCACCTTTCACCTCAGGTTTTGCCACGATTTCACGGAGATGCAAAGTATCACTACCTTACCTCGCCCCCCTCTCTATAGAGAATGTTGCAGAGGATATCTCAGTATACCTCTGACTCTTACAGATAAGCCATGGTAGATCTGATCAGTTCTGGGTTGACAAACACTTCGGAGTGAAGGAAGGTTAGAAGTCCACCAGGTGGTAACCCTAGCGTCAGAGTCCCTGACCTCAGACAAAACAGCAGGCCAGCTGGGCCGGGTGCACCCTATCCTCCCCGCCGTCTGCCAGAGTGACAACCTAACCTGCCAGCCAGCAGCCCAATATCAGACCAAAGGAACTTTCCTGACCATTCAAGTATGTGATTCTACCTCCACTTTCTGCTGTTTCCTCTTTTCTGCAGAACTCTAGAAATACTCTGAGGTACGTTAAATACAATTTAAGTGCTAATTTGAGCATTTCTGATTCAAACTTAAAAGATCACTAGGTTATATCTTCTTCCCCCAAGAGGAAGACAAGAAGCCAAAAGCCCAGAACGAAGGGAGAGTCAGGGGAGGGGGAATTAGTGGGAGGAAGATGTCCCCAGTTCTGCAGACCCAGGACACAAGTACCGTCCTATGTTGGTAGGGCATCTGAAAGGAAGGTAGGATACAGGTCAGGTTCTGAGAATCTTAAGGTGGGTGGTTGGGAGGGAGGGAGCGGTAAGGGAGAGCAGGGAAACATGCTGGTGCTCAGGCGGTCAGTCAGGGAGGCTCACCAATTCCTACAGAATGTCACCCCTCACATGAGCTGGACCTGGTGTGAAGACCAGCTCCCCTTGTCCGCATGTGAAGTTGGCCATGACCGCCCCACTCCGGCCTTGTTGGCAAATACGGACTGACAAACATAGGTCTCTGAGAGTGGAAAAAAGACATGGAAAAATGAAGGACCAATATGATCAAACTGAAAAGCTGCCTCCAGAGCAATGAGTCTCCAGGACTCTTCCCCCTTCCAACCCCTCATCCTCCTCTATTCAGGGAAGGGCCAGAATCCACAGCCCCAGTATTCCCGCCTTCAGACAACAAAGCATATTTTTTGAAACTTCTATTGAGAATACTCAGGAAAATAAAGATACTGCATCTACAAAAAGTAACACAATCCGTGATGAAAATTCAAATAAAAAAACAGCTTGGAATTCTCTTAAAGCATAACTGTGAAATTGGAATTTTGAAAGACAGACTCTAACACCCCCAAAGCACATACAATAAAAAAGAAGAGAAACGTAAGAAAAAGGTAAGCACTTGGGGAGACTGGCCCAGGATTTCCAAAATCATCATAAGATTTCTGCTCGAAAGAGAACAAAGAACATGGAGGGGGTAAATTATCAAGGAATATTATCCAAAAAATACCCAAACCTTAGAGGAGACATTGTTATCTTCTTTAAATTGAAAGGCTTAACAGAAAAGTGAATTAGAGAGACTCACACCGAGGACCATCATTGTGAAATTTCAGAACACCCAGACTTAAAGCAAACAAACAAAACAAAAAAAACTCCCAGAAAGGAACAATATGTGATCTGCAAAGAAGCCAAGACAATGGCATCAACACCAGATGCTACGAACAATGACACGAACGTATCTGCAAATATCTAAGGGAAAATACTTAAACTCACAATTCTGTCCCTGCCAAATTGTTCATCAAAAGTGAGGGCAGATTAAGGACAATTTCACAACACGTAAGGACTCAGAAAATTTATCTCGCAAGCCCCCTTTCTTGCAGTTAAGTGAAGCTGTTCTCAAACATAACAAATAAGTCAATGAAGACAGGACAAGACCTGCAATTCAGGAAACAGTGCCCCAAACCAGGGAGGCAATGAAAGGAGTGCTCTTGGGGTGCTGACTCCCCACCAGGTCTAGGGGAACGTCACTTGGGTGGAAACAGGAAGGAGGGCTCCCAGCCACCAGTCTTCAGAGGAGACACTTGGAAAACTGGAAGAAGTTACAGATGCAATAAAAACAAGTAATATAAGAAAAAAGGAAGGCAATTAGAAACCCCAAGAAAGTAAAGACATAACCACAGAAGACTAAGAAATTTAGGTGACAGGAAAATTGATGGTGCCAATAACCTCCTCACAAGGTGAGATGTCACAAGAGATGCTTTTGTATTTGGTAGACAAATATGTATCTAAATACATATTCTTTGGAGGTACTTTTAGCTACAATAAGAACTAAGATGAAACTAAGGAAATGATACTTCAATCACGAGATGTGGTAAGCTGTCCTCTGTTGCAGCAAGTGGTGACAGTAAGTCAGGTGGCCTGCAATGGGAGTGCAGGGGTGGCAGCTGTCTCATTCAACTCTTTCCTCACTGTCTTACTTTTAGTCGTATGCACATTTCACTTTGCAAACTAGAAAAGTAGGAGAGTGCTGATCCTTCCCACACCCCTTCAAATGAAACCCAAGTAGCTGTGGCATCTTGTGCAGAAGAGCATGGTCTGTGTGGAATGGACCCACCTGTGGCGCTGGGCTCACCGAGGGCAGTGATGGACACAGCCACAGTGGCATCTGCGGGGCGCATCATGAGGTCCAGCCCAGTCTGGAAGGAAACTTCCTTGGAGGATGCCAGTGCAAGGGACATCAGCCATGACTCAGGGGCAGCCAGAGAAGGGTCCAGCATGTCATTGCCAGCAGTCAGAGGGCAGAGGCCAGGGCCTGGGCAGATGTGGGGGAGAGTGGCAGGACTGTGGCCAGGCCCCTCCTGGTACATCTCACCGCCCTGCAGAGACCTGGGAAAGACAGCAAACACCATCCCTTGGAGGGCAGAGACTCCCTCAGGCCAGGGCAGAGAGGCCTGGGAGGAGACTCCAGCCTCATTTGGGAATCCAGGTTCCCGACTCAACTCAGCCACTGATGGCTGTGGGGCCCACCAGATCCCTAATTGCCTTGCTTTCACAGTTCTACCTGTGGCTGCAAGGGTTCCAGAACACTTTAAAAAAATACTATTACTGGAAACCTAAGACACATTAGCAGTTCATTTAAAAGGACCTTCAATGAAGCATTGTTCCACAAAACTGAAAGCAGGAAATGATTAGGAAGATCCTAAGAGTGGAATGAGTGATGATGGCTGATCTTACAGGAAAATTAGGCAGCAGTTGATAATAATTTAAAGACTCGATATTGCACACTCACTGTGTCTCAGATGGTGCTCCTGGGCTTCTGTGACGCCCCTCCCCTCCCCCTGTAATTTCTGCAACAACCTGCATCGTATTCCCTCCCCATCTCGCAGATGAGAAACGCACGGCACTGAGAGCTCACAGGAACCTGCCTAAGTTCATACAACTGGGCAGTGCCGGCCTGCATAGGAAGGGCCAGGTGCAGGGAGTGTCATGAGAGATGCTGATGTCACAATGGTAAATAAAGTGTCCACATCTTGATGGTTACACAAGGTGGAACCTGGACCCTCTCTCAGACCTAGTCCCGCTGATGGCCAGCACTTTCCTTATCCTTACATCAGGTCCATGCCTCATCCCTGGTGAGGGAATGTGCTTGGACAGTGCCTAGTGCATAGTCAGAACTCAAGAAATATTAGCTGTTACTGACTCAATGATATAGAAAAAATACAAAATACCTGAAATAAAAAAGAAACAATAGCTAGGGTTTGGCTTTAGGAAGTAAGCCTGCATATGTTTCTTTCCAACTCTCTTTTCCCCATTCTCCAATATATACATGAAGTCAGGCTGTGAGCCAGGCTCCAAGGAGCAAGTGTGGGGTCCCTGATATGGCCTCCTTACCAGCGGCTTCTCCACCCCAGAATCACAGAGGTCTCTCTGCTCTCAGCAGTCACTGACCTGGTCTCACTGTCAGCCCCAACATTCACATGCCTGCTGCAGGCCTGGTCATCCACCCAAGACGGTGAAACTAAATAGGGTGATGGTCCCACAGGCTGTGGGGATGGCAGTACCTGGGAGGCAGTGGCTTCGGCAGAGTCTCATCTCCAGAAAAGTCTGGGGCCAGGGCCGGTGACTCCCATGGCCCTTGAGTGGTCTCCCTGGACTGTGCAGGCCCATTTTCCTCCTGTCCTGCTGAAAGCCAATCAGGGAGGAGGGGAGGCTTGGTGGTGCTGAGTCCCAGCCTCCTTCCCAGCAGGTTAAGAGCGGCCCTGCTGGCTGGAAAAGGGTGTTACTACTGAATCATTACAATATCCTTTGTTCCTTAAATATCTTTTGTCTGAAGCCAATCCATAACTACAAACCCAGGAACCCCTCAATCATGGTGGCTGGCTCGCTTCCCAAGTCGGCTAACGGACTCCTGGCCCTGGACACATAGTAACCTCTAAATGCAAACCAGCTACTGCAGCCTCACTGGGGCCCATCCTGAGCCCATCCTTACCCTCAGCGTCAGGGATCTCGCTCACCACAAGAGGACGTCCTAAAAGTGCACACTGGGAGTGGAGGGGCTGTCCCTATAACAGAGTGACCCTAACTAGGCCTAGCCGTAGATAAAGGGTGCCGGGCGTCAGGAAGAAGCCCGCAACCGCCAAGAGGGTGGGGCCCTGGAGCCACTCACCTGGCCACTGAGGCCTGTCCACACCCCCAGGGCCACGGCGGGGGTGGCCTGAGGGCTGCGGGGGGTCCGGAGACCTTTCCCTCACACTGGGCTCCTCCACTGTGTCCTCCGGGGCTGACTGCAGGCGCTGAAGAAGGGCCCTTTGGCGCCGCCGGTAATTGGCGAACCAGTTGTACACTTGCTCAACAGTCAGGTTCGTGTCCAGGGCCAGGTTCTCCTGCTCCAAAACAGCACAGCCTCTAGCCCCGCCACCGTCCCCTGAGCAGCAGGGGTGTCCCGGGGCGACCCGAAGGGGCGGGCCCCGCCTCCCGCCCCCCGCCCTGAGCGGCCTCCGGGCGGGGGACCCGGGGCGGTCGTCGGCGCCGCCAGGCACGTCCTCCAGCCCCGCCTCGCTCCTCCCGCCGACGCTAACGCAGACACGGGGCGGGCCCGGGCAGCGCCACGGCCCCGCAGGAGGCTGCGACGGCCCGTGACCGACGCACGGGAGCCGGCGCGCTCCAGAGTCCGGCGTCCGAGGGCCACGGGCCCGCGAGCGGCGGAACCCGGCCCGCAGCGCAGGCGCGGCGATCACCGGGAGAGCTCTGCCGATTGGACAGGGAGCGTGGCGGGTGGAGCAGGCACAGGAGCGCCCTCTTGATTGGGCAAGCCCCCACTTGGGAAAGCCTTGCTGATTGGATGAGGGAGATAAGTAGGTGGAACTAAGACAGGAGAGCCCTGCCGATTGGACAGAGCAGAGAAGTAGGTGGAGAGAACAGGCCACTCCTTCGGGTGGCGTCCCACCTGTTCCCGCACAGCCTTCCCCCGACTCCGTCCCTCCAGCTTCCGGGGGCTGCGGTGCGGAGGGCGCCCACCGGCCTCAGCAGGTACTGAGCTCTGCAAATACCTGCCCCCCCTGACGCTGGAAGCTCCACGACGGCAGTCTCCTCCCCCTGGTACCCCGTGCCTGGCCGTGTGGGGACAGGATGACCCCACGTGAGAAAACTAAACCCTCCACGTGTGCAGGCTGGATGGTCAGCAGCTGCCGGCCAATGAGCCCCTGTCCTCCAGGGAAGCTCCGAGAAGCAGAAGCCACTAGCGCCCTGGCAGAGGGGCCACTCGGAAGGCCCGGGGGAGGGACGGGACAAGGGTGGGGGTCACCTAAGGTCGGGGGGCGGCTAAGGGGAGGGTGGCCTGGCCTCCAACTCCTCGGCTCTTACCCTCTCGGCCTTGCTGGGGTTGGTGCTCACGCCAGAGGCAAAGTCGTGCAGCTTCTGGCGAACCTCTCTGGGAAAGTTCCGACTCTTCAGGCCGTCCGGGCAGAGGGAGGCGGGTGGTGGGTTCCTGTAACAGGACAGTGAGGAGGTGGTTACAGACGCGCCTCCTGAATGCACCTCATGGGCTCCCAAACACTGTGCACCCCGGGACACCCTCTCATCTCACTGGCTGCCCTCCTCTCCAAGCTGTGTGCTGCCGAGTCCCAGGAGTTCACCCTCTGAAGGACAGAGGGGCCCGGCGTCAGCCTGTTTTCACCTGCACACCCTCACGGGGGTCACCAGGCTCTCCAGCACCACTCACCGAGATGCCAGAGGCAACCAGTGGCCCATAGCTATTGAAAGTGGATGATGAGGGTATACTGTGTATATACATGAATTTTTCCAAAAGGAAAAACTGATATATAAACAAATGGTACCAGCGGGGAACACCCAAGATATTCAAACAGCAACTGAACAAATCACCATGGATGTCAAAAATGCATCCCACTCATACCACATCCCAAATGGAGCTTGATCCTTCACTCTCCCAATCTTCCCCCCAGGCCCCAATTCTGTGCACCTCCGTGAGAAACCACCGTGTTCCAGCCAATCAGGCCAAGAGCCCTGCAGGCTGGCTTTATTCTCTCTTAACCTCCTCCAACACATCTGGCTCATCAGCAAATCCTCCAAAGTCTGCCCTGACACACCCAGAGACTCCCAAGAGCCTCCTGCCTCTCTCCTGTACCAACCACCCTTAGGTGCCACCCCTCTAGGAGACACCACCACCCTCAGGTGGTGGACCAACCATTGCTCTAACTCCGATATCACCCCCTCCTTACACTTCCAAGGGCTGCCATCCCCACACTCAGGCCCCTCTGCCAAGGCTTAGAGGAGCCTGCGCTGCACCCCCCTCCCCAAAACAAAGAACAAAGGTGGCACAGTCCTCTACTAAGCACATTCTCTGTCTAGTATGCCCCACTCTGAACCATGGAATTTACTTTGTGTCCTCTCTCCTGTCCGTTGTCTGCACCCAGTGTCAGCTCCAGGAGAGCAGGGCCCAGGCTGTAACCCCAGCAACTCCAACAGCACCCGGCAATCAGGGGCCTCTTCACAAACACTGCATACTGATCCCCAAATCATCTACTGAACTGTACTCTTCCAGGCCATCAGCAACTATATGGAGGGACATGATTCCATTCCTGAAGACCCTCAAGGCTGATGAACTGCTGGGCTTCGAGTTATCTCATTCTTCGGCAGGCACCAGGAAAAAAAAATTATCTCTGATCCAGAAGGAATCCATCTCTTCTTCCAGTAACCAGGCCCCATAGCGCAGGAATCCCGTTACTTGGGCTCCCAGGAGCTCAGAGCCAGATCTACAGCCCTTCCTGGTCAGTGGGCAACACCCAAGATCGAGAACAAAGGCTCTACAGTCTCAGTGTCTAACCTGGAGTCCTAGCTTTGCGTCTCTCTCCTCTGTAACCTTGGGCAAGTCCTGACCTCTCTGTGCCTCAGTTTACTCATCCATAAGTGGTGATGAAGGAGTAACAGTAATCAGCAGTTGTAATGTTTCCTTAGTGCTGATAATGGCTATGGTGGTAATTACCATTAATGAGGACCCACCGTCTCTCATGTGCCAGGCAATCTCCTAAGCACCACATACATCTCGTCTGATGCTCACATCACTCTCATCTTTAAAAGGCCCTGCAGCCCTGAGGGGTGGTGTTGCAGACCCAGGCCCATGTCTGTGGGAATCACATGACCAAAGGTACACGTGCTGGGCATCTCCCACAGGAGGAGACAAAAGGAACGGAGTGAGGTCAGGATGTCCACCTGCTGCCTCCTCCTCTGCAGAGCCCTCACTGGAAGGCAGTGGCTCCTTCTCCTTGCCCTGCAGGCTTAAGTAGGAATACACCCCCATGTCCAGCTGAGCAGGTGGAGAGTGTGGCTCAGTGCTGGGCACACGGGCTGATGCGGAGCCTATTACCTTTTGACTATTACTGCTTTTTCTGACTTTTCCTGCATTTATCTCCCTGTCTCTGCCTTACCTCAGCCCCGCTGTGGTTTTAGATGGCACATCCCTCAGGAGTCCTGGGGAACACGCATAAATAAAGGCTAGCGGTGTACCTCTTTCTGCAGCGGAACTTCTGCACGGGGGTTAGCACGGCCACGCCCAGCCGCTTCATGACCAGGCGGTAGTGAATGTCGTTCCAGAGCTGTACCAGCTCCTGGCTGCCTCCAGGCACCTGGCAACCCTGCCGAGAAAAGCCTACTGAGACCTGGCCGCCCTCGCCCATCCTGGAGCACTGCCCTCCAACCCGACCTGACCCCTCGGGAAGAGCTGCTGGCTGAGGGGCGGGGCAAGGTCCCGTCAGCCCTTCAGCCCTCCCACAAAGCAGCTCTCAGTCACTCCTTACAGGTCAGGAACAGGAGTCAAGGGGAAGGCAAACGACAGGCCTGGGGCCACAGAACATATGAGAGGCAGACTCACAGAGCCACATGGATGGATTTGAGGGCCCAAGGTTTGACCCATATCTTGCGTGAAAGACCTTTCTCTCCCACCCAGCAGGGCTGCTCCCTTGCATGCTCAGTGAGTGCATTTTGAGCCATGAGGGATGAAGTGGTTCTGGTCTGTGCCCCACCAAGCTCACCAATCCAGTGCGACCCGTTCACACGACCAGACTCCGGAGATGGCCAAGGATGCCTGGTGCTGGCCTCCCCAACACAGCCCTATGGTCTGTGTGGGGTTCCCGCATTTAACTCCAATGTTCTCAGGATCATCTCAGCAAGGGAGGTACCGACAATCATTCCGCCTTCCCTCCACAGTATCAGAGAAAGCCCATTTTGCGAGGCTTTGACTTCCAGTCTGCTGCCAGGATGCAGCCATCAGCCTTGGGCAGTTGTCAGGGAACCCTGCCACCTGCAGGATGTGGTCCTGGGCGAGAAATGCCCATTCTTGGTGTGCTGTCCCCATCCTATCTCTTGGGTCTCCCCTACACGTCAGCTCCTCAGAGACATTTATGGACTGTCCAGACATAGTTTATAATCCCTCTCCTGGGAGTTTTCCATCACTGATGTCATTCGCACATTTCATCATTGAGTGCCTCAACAGAGTTATTACAACTCCGTGTTTTCCCTTGTTTACTTTGACGGATTTGAAAAACTGAGCCCCTCTGTCTCACAGGTGTCACATTAGGTGTCGTGGATCCTGTCATAAGCACAACTGAGGTGGCTGCTCCCTCACGGGGCCTGCAGTCCAGCAATAGGAGGCAGACAGAACAAAGACCTGAGGAAGGAGCCACAGGGTGAACAAGACTCTACACTGGAGAATAAAGGGGGCACTACCTAGACAGGGTGACATTTACAGCAGAAACCAGAAAGGAAAAAAGGCACCAGCCACACAGAGGGCCTGGCTCCAGCCTCTGGCAGAGGGAGCAACACATGCTGAGGTCCTGAGACGAGGGAAGATGTCGGGAGTTGTATGAACAGCAAGGAAGCAGCATGGCGAGTGTGAAGAAAGCAGGGGGAGAGTCTGACAGAGAGACTGGAGAGCAGACAAGCTCAGATTGCGGGCTCAGGTGCACACTGTGGCCCATCTGCTGCTTGTGAACTCTGGCTGCTACATGAAGGACAAATCAAGGGGACAGCCTATGGGGAAGGGAGTGGAAATTGAAAGAACTGGAAAGAAAGGAGTATCTTGGGGCGTCTGGGTGGCTCAGTCAGTTAAGTGTCTGCCTTCGGCTCAGGTCACGATCCTGGGGTCCTGGGACTGAGCCCCATGGCAGGCTCCCTGCTCAGCGGGGAATCTGCTCCTCTCTCTCCCTCTGCTGGTGCCCCTGCTCATGCTCTCTCTCAAATAAATAAATAAAATCTTTAAAAATAAATAAATAAAATCTTTTAAAAAAGAACTGAGTATCTCGAAGGTAAACTCAGCAGCACGAATTATGCATGAACTGTATGATGGGGTGATAGAGGGAAAAATAGGCCCTCAAATCCCTTAGTTGAAACCCTTTGAGCCAGACGTATTTTGGAATTAAGAATTTCTCAGATTTTAGGAAGTAACACAGGCATGTCCGGTGTAATAAACACCACCCCAGTATAATCTGGAGCAGGCAGCATGCTGTAATCAAACATACCAGTATTTAGGTAGCAGAATGTACCATGGTCACATTAAGTGGCTAAAGACCACAAAGGCTTCACATGAGTGCAGGTCAAGTCACATCACTGTCAAATGCATCCAAGTAACACCAGATGAGTGACCAAGATACTTTTGGTTTGCATGCTCAGTTACAGACCTGCAGCTAAGGGACTGAGGTTCTGGGTCTGTCTGACCATCTTACCGACTGGGATCCCACTCTCCAAGTGAGGACCACCACTCAATATGGATCTCATAAATGGATAGTTCGGTCTCAGATTACTAAGGTAGTTAGAAGTCTGTAAAGAGAGTGGACCATTCTAGCTTGGCTTATAAAACGTCTCTCTAGGTTCTTGCCGACTAGGGGGCATTTCTGTGGTGTCTGGGATGGTGCTGTAGCTCTCTGCACGCCCCTCACAGACCAGGCCTACCTCCAGGACCCGGCAGGCAGCCTGAAGCTGCTCCTGCCGGGCCAGCACCCGGGCACACACAAGGGCCACATCCGCGTTGTCCAGGAGGTGCAGGCGGAGAGGACTGTCCAACACGGCGGTGACCAAGGGCTGCACCTGGGCTGGGTCATCCTGGAGGTCCCGGCACAGCCTGCCTGCAAGAGTCACCAGCTCTGCCAAGGGTGGCCCAGCGCCCTCACTCTCCTTCAGCAGCCTCAGGAAGCTCTGCATCCCGCGTCGGGTTCGGGCCCTCTGCAAACAAGACAACAATCATGACAATGGCCAGCACTGCCCACAGGCTGACTGCGTGTCCATCCACAACTCTGCAAGGCCCCTCTTGCCACAGGCATTTGTAACATGGTGGTAGGAGCTCCCCAAGAAAAGGCAGAGGGGCATCAAAGCCTGCTACAGTTTCCCGTTTTTAGTCCTCGTTTGTGTACTAGGCGCTCTCACTGCAATGGTTCATCTCATTCCTGTGACCCTTTAGTCTGTGCCCCATCCACAGGCCCCACACTGATCCTCCCATGTCTCCTCCTCTCTGTTTCCCCCACAGTATTACACATACAAGGTAACTGTGCTGTGTTTCACTCCTTCTCTGGGCTCAGTCAGGGCAGGGACCCTGTATTGGGGTCGATTTCCCCAGCATCCGCCCCATGGATGCCCAGGCCTCTCAGAGCAGTAGGAGGTACCCTGAGGTAGGGGCCTGGCAGACATTGCTTACATTCCTACAAAGAGGAGCCATGGGACCTGCCAGAGCAGGACTAACACCAACTGCTTTTGACTATTATGATTTTGAAAACAAACAAACATACTTGAAAAACACAAAATTTTAAAGATTGCCCTAATCCCACACTTTTAAAAAAATATACAAAAGGATGAACATTTGCTGGGCCTCCCTGTGCCTGGTCCATCTACTCTGCACTGCCCCCCCAACCCATATAGAGATAAGCTATGGCAAGTTGGATTTGAAGGCTTTATGATTTTTTTTTTTATAAAAAGCTAACTATGTATACATACAGCAGTTTTTACCAAAAGAGAGATTGCTCATGCCATTACTCAATCTGGCCACTACCACAGGCATATTCCCTGTACCATATGAATGTTCCTGCAGAGTACCCATGACAGTAGGGGCCAGACTTGTTTCAACACCTGTCCACCCCCGAATATTCGGTAGCATGATAATCCTACTACCTTTGGTTCACAATTACTCTTACTTCTATAGAACAGACTCAGGTAAGCGAGGTTCAAGAGTAGTGCTATATGGCATTGTGTTTTTAGTAGATGCTACCAAGCTGCTTTCCACAAAGGTGGTAAGAATCTGCGTGCCCGGAACTGCAGAAGGCAGGCCTGTGCGCACTCCCTGGCAGAGGGTCTGGCCTCAATTTCTAGGTCTTTCCACCCTGCACTGCCTCTCAGGTCCTTCTCAGCGCATGGGGCCGTCCACCAGGGGGAAGCGCTCCCGTCTACGCCGCTGCTTCTGAGCTTTAGGGCCGTTCGCTAGATCCTAACTTAGGGCCCAGCGTTTCTCCCCATCGCATTGGGCAGGAGGCCGCTGATCCCGCGTCCCTCGAGGGAGCGGAGGCTCCAAGGCTTCGGTGGGGGCGGGTTCCTCGCAAGACCCGGGGTTCTTCCAGCGCAGACCACCCCCCACCCCCGCGCCCCAGCACTGGCTCTAGGAAGAGAGGCCAGGCAGGAGTCTAAGGGCCAAGCTCCTGAGGACGGAACCTCGGAGTTCAAGAACGAAGTGACCTCTTGGGGGGTACCCAGGACACTGAGGGGCACCGGCCCCGGGCAGGGATGGAGGGCACCTGGGGGAGAGTGGCTCTGCTGGGCTCCCTGACCCAGGCACCCCCTGCCTGGCTTGACCCGTCCCCCACTCCTGTACCTTTCGGGGCGCGCTGCTCCCCGGCAAAGCCGAGATTCCTGCCCAGCAGTACCCGCCCCGCCCCGCCCCGCCAGCTCACTGCGCCCCACTTCCGCGCTCGCTGCACGTGCTCTGCCCACACCTCCGGGGAGGAGGCGCGGGGCGCGGAAGGCGCGGTCGCTACAAAGTATCGAGGCTGCGGCCAATCGGGCGAGCGCTCCGCCCGACGACCGGAGCCTCTGGGCCTGCGCCCGGGCGTACCCCTGCGCGGAGGAGGTCCGTCTGGGTGCGCGCGGGTTTTGGGGAGGCGGAGGAGTTCTGGGGTGTCCGAGAAGTTCTGGGAGTTCCGTGGGGGCTCTGGCGTAACCGGGAGTTTCTGGGGTTTGGAGGCGCAGTCGAGCCTGGCTCTGCGCGTCCTCAGGCCCAGGAAGGAGTGGGGCCAGGGCCTGGGGGGTCTCGGCTGTGGAGAGAGTCTGGTTGGCAGTGGAGGAGAAAGCACCACGATCCTTGAGCCCGCGGAGTCAGGAGAAAGCTGTGACCTTTGACTGACCCCATGCCACCCGCCCGGGTGCACAGCGGAGCCAAAGCGCAGCTGAGGTTGCAGTTCCTGGGTGGACGTCCCCCTCCAGCGCTGAGATCCGCACCCCCACCCTGGCCCCCGTGGGAGGAGGGCGCCTTTCAAATCCAGAACCTCCCCCCTCCAGGAGACGTCGGAACAGAGGCCCCAGCAGAGGGCGCGGGGTCTGCGGTGCAGGTGCACCGCTCCCCCCGCCTCCCCGGCAGCGGCCTCCTGGGGCAGCGGCCTCCTGTGGCAGCGGCCTCCTGGGACAGCTCGGGCCGACCTCCACGCGATCCTGAGCGCGTGTTCAACTCAGAGATCTTCCGAGCTAGGATGGCCCCGGGGCAGGTCCCAGATTCTCACAGACCCGCGTCAAAAGATGGATGGAAATCACTAAACTGCCCACGTCCTGGATTGGACAAGGTCTAAGCCTCTGCCCAGGTGGTCTTTAAGCTGTGGGTTCTCTCACACAAGTAAGCTCCAGAAATGAGGGACCAGGACGACTTCGAGTTGGTTTCTACAGGTGGTCAAGGTCTTACTGGAAAGATTCTCTGACGCCAAAGCTTATATATGTAAGCTTATGTAAAAGACATCGGCAGAAAGATCAACATTTCAGCGTTTGTTCAAGTGCAAATCTGGAAACAATCCAAGCGTCCGGTGAAAGATTTGCTAAATAAATCACACTTCACAAAGAGGACGGGCTCCTGGAAGATTATTAGTAATTATGCCTTGGAAGAATGCTGACTTGACTGTGATCGTGATACATTGTACAATAAAAATGGCACGTAACAAGACAGTTTGATTTGAGCCTGTTCGAAAAGTACAAACGTAAAGTGATATATGCCACATTGCTAAACCCTGGTTGAACCTAGGTGACAGAATTCTTTTACTTCATAACTTTTATTGGGCATTTTAATTTTCTTCTTTTTGCCTACCCATGTTTTCTACTTTTTATAAAAAGAGGATTCTGTCTTTAGGGTTCTTTTCAAGGAGTGGAAAGAAAACAACAGGGTTGTTGGAAACAGTCCTGAATGACCGAGTACAGATGACCTTTGACCAACATGGGTTAGAACTAATGGGGTCCGCGGCTCCTGGGTGGCTCCACCCGTTAAGCGTCTGCCTTTGCTCAGGTCATGAGCAGGGAGCTGAGCAAGCAGCCCGCTTCCCCGTCTCCCTCTGCCTGCCGCCTCCCCTGCTTATGCGTTCTCTCATTCCGTCAAATGAATAAATAAAATTCTAAAAAAAAAAAAAAAAGGAACTAACGGATCCCCTTATACCTGGATTTTTATTTTTTTTAAGATTTTATTTATTTCACAGAGAGAGACACAGCAAAAGACACAGCAAGAGAGGAAACACAAGCAGGAGTGGGAGAGGGAGAAGCAGGCTTCCCGCCGAGCAGGGAGCCCGATGCGGGTCTCGATCCCAAGATCCTGGGATCATGACCTGGGCTGAAGGCAGACGCTTAATGACTGAGCCACCCAGGTGCCCCTATACCTGGATTTTTAAAAAATAAATACAGTACCTTAAATATATTTTCTCCTCCTTATGATTTTAACAACCTTTCCTCTAGCTTAACTTACTGTAAGAGTACAATTTAAAATACATGTAACATATAAATTATGTTAATTAACTATGTTATCACTGAGGCTTCTGGTCAACAGTAGCCTATCAGTAGTTAAGATTTTGGGAAGTCAAAAGCTGTACATGGATTTTGAACTGCACAGGGTTGGCATCCCTAACTCCTGCGTGTTCAAGAGTCAACTGTATTAGTGAGGCACAGGGAAAATGAGAGATTTGCTGCAGCACACCCTCCCGTTTACAGTGAAATCTTTCTGTTAATGCAGTCATAGGCTCTTTCTCTAGGACACACTAGATGCTCAATCAAAATATTCCTGATTGCTCTCCAGTGAATTGAAAAACTCAGTGGAACCTAAAATGTAAAAATACCTACGTTATTAAATTCAAATGTAATTCAACAAATTATATGATCCTAATTCACTAATATATCAGTTGATTTTTTTTCGGTTGCCATTTACTGAACTCTCAGTATGTCCCAAGTAAGATGTTATTGTTTGAGCCTCCTACCCCCACACCTGAGCTAAGATTATGTTTCCTTGTTACTGATAAAGAAATAGGTCCAGTGAATTTTAAAACACTTTCCAGAGGTCCTCTGGCTTTTTACCTGTCAAACCAGGAAGCCTATATTCTTAACTTCAGCACATAACAATTTCTATGTTTTCTAAATCAGGACAAACTCTTCATAAGCTTCACTTTGAATAGAGGCTTGATCTTCCAACAAAATGTAATTGACCCATGCTCACTGTAAATAAGGGCTTCTCTCCTGTTCTTCCATGCTTTCGAATATGGTTGCAATCATCAGCACATAATACATTCTAAAGCACACTTACCTGCTATTTCCACATTTTGTTCTCTCCAGGACCAAGACTACCTGGGGTGCACAGTTCAATTACTTTACAACTATATGACCTTGGCCAAATTATTGATTCTCTCTGTACCTTCTTTCCTCTTTGGTAATATGGGTATAATAATAGAACCCTTTATGGGATTGAGATAATCAGTTAATACTCAAAAGGGATCCAAATGACTGGTCTCCAACAGCTACAAAACGCCCTAATATGCAAACAGACATGCAACAAATCTGACAAATCTCCCAAGAGGTTCTTACCCTGGGGCCATCAAGAACGGTTCATGGGGCAGTGAGAATGGACATGAATTCCCACAGAGGAACCCATGGTGATGAAGGTAATTCCTGGAAGGAAGAGAGGTTCAGGGTGAAACAGAGGTTCT